ATGATGATGATGATGATGATGAGGAGGAGGAGGAGGAGGAGGAGGTGGAGGAGGAGGAGGAGGAGCAAGATGAGGAGCAAGATGAGCAAGGAGAACGCATGGCATTTGCGCGTCTTCTCTTTGCCCCGTCGGATACCCAGGCTACGCCGATGCTGCGGATTTCGCCGAGCGCTGCCTTAAGGCGCGCGGCCCGAGCGGTCGGGAATTGCTTCTCGTTTGCCCGCATGCATTTTTGCCTGTGGTAGGAGGGGGGGGATGAGGATGAGCAGGAGGACAACGAGAAGGACCAGTGTACAGGGAGGACCAGTGTAAACGTAGGATGCATCAGCGTTGCTGCACTACATCGTCCAGTTCCGAGCCCCCAGTCATTCTTTTATTGCTAAGGCCTTCCGGCCGGTGCCGCCGACCCTGAAGACGACGACGACGACGAATACAAGAGCAGGAGAAGGCGAGGGCCGAGGGAGCCGTAGCAGAGACAGACAGGGAGCCTTGTGGCCTGCGGCCCTTCCCGCCACCGTGCTGGGGTTGTGGTTGAAAGGTCTCTTGGATGTTTTTGGGCCTGTTGGGGCCTCTGTTGGGCCTCTTGGGGGTCTCTTGGGGGCCTCTTCGGGCCCCTTAAGGGGCTCTTGGGGCCTTCTGGGGCTTCTCGGGGCCTTCCGGGGGCTTCCTGTCGGTTCGTGGGTGGTCCTTCTCTTGGGCCTGCTTGAGGCCCTCTTGGCGTTTCTTAGTGTTGTTTTGGGCTCAGGGATGCCCAGGGGCGGATGCGTATCTGACCCCCCCCCCCGGGACCCCCCCCCGGACCCCCCCCAGGGACCCTCTCGGGACCCTCCCCCTGGCGGGTGAGGGATCAGAGGGAAGGGGCTTCCCTTCGACTTAAGTACGACGTTGATACGGTTTTCTCTCGCTGGCAGGCTTGAAGAGGAGGGTGCAGGGAAGGGGGACGACGGAGACGCAGGGAAAGCGGACAACGGATGTGTCTACTGAGCGCACGCCGACAGGGAGTCCACACGCCGACAGGGTCGGCGGATTTACTGCAGAACCCCCTCCCTTGAGAAATACGCGCGCCATGAGTCTGCCCTTCAAGCGGGAGCCCCGTTCGGACATATAATGTTTCAGTACTAGTATTTTCTCATCGAGAGAAGTACGAACGAATGGGTCACATGAAGTTAACGATGTGTCCCACGATATCCATTGAATGGAAAGTGGTTGTCTTGGATTAGTGTAATTGTTGCGCGGGTTTACATCAGTGGCTATGTCTTGAAATTGGTTGGAGGCTTTGATGACGGATGCGTGCGGCTCTGAAGCGGGAACTTGTTTTGGAGAGGAGCAGACCGTCATCTTTGTAGCTGTTGGAAGCTTTCAAATGTGCGCGTTGCTGAGGCGAGGCCTCGTCTCGGTCTCGTTCTCCGTCTTCCTCATCCTACTGTTCTTTCTCCTGCGCGTCCTCCTGCTCATCCGCCACCTCCTCCAATGTACGCAGCTCCCCCTGCCTGTGATTGTGCGCAAGACGATTGAGTCCTTTCGAGGCATCCAGGTCCGCTGCGACACCCGTCGGGGGATGGACAACAAGCAGCGCCATGGGAAAGATTGGGCGCGAGGGGCAGGATTCCAGACGTGGCGCGAGCGCACCTAGCTTGCCCCCTCCCCTTCCACTTCCCCTTCCCCTTCTCCTTCCCCTTCCCTTCCCCTCCCCAGCCTCCTCCTCCTCCTTTTCCTCCTCCATCTCCCCCTCCTCCTCTTTCTCCTCCTCCTCCTCCTCGTCCTCCTCCTCCTCCTCCTCCTCCTCCTCCTCGTCCTCCTCCTTCTCCTCCTCCTCCTCCTCCTCCTCCTCCCCCGTCGCCTCCTCCTCCCTAATCCCGTCCTCCTTCCCTCCTCCTTCCCTCCTCCTTCCTCCGTCTCCTCCTCCTCCTCCTCCTCCTCCTTCTCCTCCTCCTCCTCCTCCTCCTCCTCCTCCTCCTCCTCCTCCTCCTCCCCCTCCTCCTGGAGATCCGGGCCCTCCCGGTGTCTGGCGGGCTCACCGCGGCGGCATCGGCTTGCTCTGCACGCGACGAGCCGAATCCGCCCGCCACCGCCGCATCCGCAGAGTCAGAGACGAGGCAGGCAGCCAGATAAGCAAGGAGGAGTGCAGAGACGAAAGGGAAGCATCACCATCATCACCATCATCATCACCAGCATCATCATCATCATCATCATCATCATCATCATCATCATCATCATCATCATCATCATCATCATCATCATCATCGTCATCATCACCATCATCATCATCATGATCATCATGATCATCATCATTATCATCATCATCACCATCACCATCACCATCATCACCATCACCATCATCACCATCATCACCATCATCATCACCATCATCATCACCGTCATCATCATCATCATCATCATCATCACCATCATCATCATCGTCATCAGCATCAGCATCATCATCGTCGTAATCATCATTGTCATCATCATCACCACCACCACCATCACCACTCTCACCACCACCACAACCACCACCATCACCACCACCACCATCACCACCACCACCAGGATGGCGGCGGGCGTGCAGAGGCGAAAGGGAAGCACTCAGGCTGAGAGCTTGGCTGGACTAGAAGGCCGAAGGAGAGGAGGATGCCGAGGTGGACGTAGTGGGGATGGCGGCGTGCGTGCAGAGACGAAACGGAAGCACTCAGGCTGGGATGCCGCGGTGGACGCGGAGGAGGCTGCGTAGGAATATAAGGAATGAGGCACACACGGGCGTCGGTCGGATGTGCAGGGATCAGAGGGGGGAATGCGGGTGGGCACCGGGGCGGGTGGGCGGGTCGGATTTGAGCTGTGTCCACTTTCGCTTGCTCTGGTGTTCTGCTCGTCGTGACCCATTGTTGCGATTGCGATTGCGGGGGGGCTGGGAGGGAGGATGAGAGGGCGTCCACGTAAGGGAAACCACTGCATCGCCAGGCCAGCTGGGGCCCACCGCAGAGCCCCAGGATGTGCACAGCGCGCCTCCGCCTGCCCAGGGGAGCGCGTGCACTCGTTCTGGCCCCACGCCGGGCCCGAGCCGGCCTTGAACAGGGGCCGCCGGACCGCCCTGCAAGGAGGCGGCGCCAGCGAACCTTCAGGCGACTGCGATATCCATAGGTCGTCGAACGTCGGTATTTCTGGATCTCCATGTTCCAATCTGCTTTAGGCGCCTTCCTACTTCAGTGATCGAGTGGCTTCACCCTTCCCCTTCTCTCTAGGGGGCGGGCGGGAACCCAATCTGCCTCCAACGCCTTCCTACTTCATGGCTCTACCTGCTTCTCCCGACCGATGGGTAACAAGAACAACGAGCGGGCTGGATGGTGGTGCACATAACGACTTCTGCCCAGGGTGCAGCGGCGCAGGCTCGAGAGCCGGGCGGCGCCCCGCCGGAGCCGTGGTGGCCGAAGCGATGCGCCCATGGTAGCGCCGCGCGGCGCGGAGCGGCGGGCCGCCGCTCCGAGCGCGCGGGCTGGAGCGAGGCCGCCCGTGGGCGCCGAAGGCTCTGGCGGGTGGTGATTGGGGGGTGACCTGCAGGGCTGGACCTCAACGGTGTTTTTCTGGCGATCTCGTGGGCCGTTTTCGTTTCGGCTTCGTTGCGCGGTGAAGGCGGATTCGAGACAAAAAAGCGAGGGAGAACGAACACAAAACGAAAACGAAGAACACCGTTTAGGTTCAGCCCTGGTGGCCTACACTGGGGGGTGAAGAAGAGGGCCCTCGAGGGGCCCATTTAGGGCTCCTCTTGGAGCCAGCACGGGGCCCCAGAGGGCCCCGAAGTGGGGCCCTGGGCCCTCCTCTTCGCCCCCCCTGTGCAGGTCCCCCCCCATCACCACCTGTCCGAGAGGCACCCGCGCGGGCTCGGCCCAGTGCAGGTCTGGCTCCTTCATCACGTCCGCCTGCCGCTCCGCCAGGACCCGCAGGAGTCACCTCGGTGCACCGCCGCCGGGCCCGGCCAGGGCCGTCCCCGCCCCCCTGCACGGTGCCCAGGCGAACCCTGGGCCTCGGCCAGGGTGCCGTGCACGTGCGCGCCGTCCTGGCAGGGGCCAGGATGGTGTCTACGGTGCGCATTTGTGCACCGTGCCAGGGGGGGGGGGGGAGCGTGGCGCTGGGCAGGCGCGCTGATGGTGTACATGTGCCTGCTGCGTGCGGCAGGTTCGTGCTGTGTCGACGTGGCGGTGCCCCCAGCGCGGGCGTTCAAGGTTGAACGCCGCCAGCGGCCCAGAATTGGACGGCATCGATCGATGCACGCCATCGCAAAGCCGCGGTCGTTCGCGTCAAACGATCCACGCGGTGTCAGAAACCAGCACACAAGTCGTCACGGCACAAACCTGCAGCACATTGGGGGCGTCCAAGAGGGGGTAAGACTAGGTCTGCATGTGTAGACATCAGGTTCAGACCCTGGCTGCCCTCTCGCACGTCTTATGGGACCGTACCCTGGGTTGCCTGTCAGTTCCGCCCCCTGGATTGCGCGTTGGGGACATGCGTTGTCCTCTTTCTTGAGCTTTGCACAACCCTTGCAACCTGGACTGTCCTACACACAGGACTTCTGAGCGCAGTCACATCGGAGTTAAGACTCTCGACATTCCGCGAACTTCCTACGCCCTGGTACGCAGTTTCGCCTTGCCGCTCCCCGCTCGCTGCCCGTGTCAGTCAATGCCCCAGCACACGTGCAAGATCTTCACGGTCTGAGCGTGCTCCGCCGGTCGCGGTCTCTTTCCCCCCTTCTCGCCTGTCCTTCTCCTTCTGTGCCTAGTGAGGCCCTGGTGCGTTCCCCGGCTGCCCCGACCGCGTCTTGAACCCAAGTCGCCGCTGACAAAAGAGTGAAATCGCCCAGATTTCACGGACCCCCTCCTCCTCCTCCTCTTCCTCCTCCTCCGTCCTCCTCCTCCTCCTCCTCCTCCTCCTCCTCCTCCTCCTCCTCCTCCTCCTCCTCCGTCCTCCTTCTCCGTCCTCCTCCTCCTCCTCCTCCCCTCCGTCCTCCTCCTTCCTTTCCGTCCTCCTCCTCCTCCCCTCCTCCTCCTCCTCCCTATCCTCCTCCTCCCCTCCGTCCTCCCTCCTCCGTCCTCCTCCGTCCTCCTCCTCTCCTCCCTCCTCCTCCTCCTCGATCCTCTCCTCCTCCTCCTCCTCCTCCTCCTCTCATCTCCGTCCTCTCCTCTTCTTCCTCTTTCACCATCTGTCCCAGTTTCCCATCCCCCGCGTCTGCGCACGCGGCTTCGGGGCTTGGGCCGTTATGCTCCCCACTTCCGGCCCAGGAGAGGAGGAGGAGGAGGAGGAGGAGGAGGAGGAGGAGGAGGAGGAGGAGGAGGAGGAGGAGGAAGGAGGAGGAGGTAGGAGCGGAGGCGGCCGGCGTCGGCACGGCGGCGGGCGGCGGAGGCGTAGGCGGGAGGCGGATCCAGCGGATGCTGGAGCGGAGCGGAGGCGGAGGCGGAGGTGGAGGCGGAGGCGGAGGCGGAGGCGGAGGAGGAGGAGGAGGAGGAGGAGGAGGAGGAGGAGGAAGAGGAGGAGGAGGAGGAGGAGGAGAAGGAGGAGGAGGAGGAAGAGGAGGAGGAGGAGGAGGAGGAGGAGGAGGAGGGAGGAGCGGAGAGGCAGGAGGAGAACGGCAGAAGATCTCCTTCCTTTCCGGCGAGCGTGTGAGCGGCCAGTCCCCCGTGCACAGGAGCGCCCGCTCCCCGCTACCGCAGCTCGCCGCCACCCCCCGCGGGCCGCCGCCCCGCCACGGGCACCACACTGGCGGTGCGCGGCCGTCTACCGCCCCTGGGGAGGCCTCGGCGCCGCGGCCGCTTCCCCGGGGCCCCCCGTGCGACGGGGGCGGCGCGCGGCCGACGACGGCCCCAAGCGAGGCGCCTGCGGGGTGGCCGCCGGTGCGCGAGGCTCAGGGGCCATGTCGGGGGAGGGATGCGCAGGCGCAAAAGGGGGGACGCATCGACCCCCCCAACTGCCCGTGCGTCGCCGATGTGGGACCCGAAAGCCCGTTCCCCGCCCAGGGCCGTGCGGATGTTTTATCGTGTGCCCACCGCCGATCTGTCGGCGATGCATCGCCGATTCCGGGTCCATGCGTCTGCCTCTGGGCCAGAGCCCCTACGAACGTGCCCCCCTTCGAGGCGGAGGCGTGCGCCGCCCGCGCGCAGACCGCGCCTGGCGCGCCGCGCAGCCCCCGCGAGGGAGGCGGCAGCCCGCGCCGCGCGTGGTGGCGCGGCCTGCTGTCCTGCCACAGCGGCCCGGCGGAGGACTCAGATGAGAAAGTGCCGATTCCGCTGCTCGTCCTGGAGGGCTCTGGTTGCCCCAACTCATCCCCCCTCCTCCTCCTCCTCTCCACCCCTCCCCTCCCCCTCCTCCTCCTCCTCCTCCTTCCTCCTCCTCCTCCTCTTCCTCTCCTCCTCCTCCTGCTCCTGCTCCTCCTCCTCCTCCTCCTCCTCCTCCTTTTCCCTTCCTATTCCTCCTCCTATTCCTCCTCCTCCTCCTCCTGCTTCGCCACGGCTGTATGCTCTTCGAAAGTCTGGTCCGAACGCACCCCAGGAGAGGTCCAGGGAGGAGCGGCATTGGTATTTTTCTCGGGTCCCCACAGGATGGCGCCGCCGCGGCCGCCGTCCTCTCGCTGAATTCCTTGCCCACAGCGGGCGCGTCGACGGCGTCGGCGGCGAGCGCGCGCTCCGCGTCGGACCACCTGGCGTGGGCCAAGCTCATCAGGCGATCGCAGGGGACCTGGTGGCAGCGCCGCCGCTCGCTCGCGGCCACCGCGCCCGCGGGCCCTGGAATCCGCGCCGCGTCGGCGAGGTCGTGCGCGAAGCTGCGCGCCCCAGGGCCGTCGGGCTCGGACTGGACGGGCTCGCTGAGGTTGCAGCAGGGCAATCGGCATATCCATAAACTTTGGGAGCTCCGCGCCGGTTTCTTCGATCGGCGCTGTGCCCCCCTGCCGGGGCCTGCGGCGCCGCTCCTGGCGCCAGGCAGGGGGCTCCCAGCGCAGATCGAAGAAAATCCTCGCGGAGCTCCGAGACGTTTCTGTTCTCGCCGCGTTGCCTGCCTCTGCGAGGGACGGGGAGTGGACCTCGACGATGCGCGCCAGGGACGCGGAGGCCCAGGTGCGGCAGCAGCGCCGCCAGCGCCGCTCCAGCGTGGGGTACGCGAGCAGCGCCACGCAGCCCGGCGGCTGCAAGCGGGGTGGGCGGCCCAGGGGCGCGCACTCTGCACGCGTGTCTGCGGGGGAGCCTCGCCGAAGACCTGGGCGGTCGGAGGGAGCCCCTGGATGCGACAGGTTCGCGCCGTGCGCCGACGCGGCGGCGACCCTGCCGCGGGGCGTTCAGGGTTGATCGCCGGCGGCGGTCCAGAATCGTCCCATGTGGAACGAGCTGGCGATCACAAAGGAGCGGCCGACTATTAATGGTCGAAGGAGCCACGCGGTGTCAGAAACCAGCGCCGGGGTCGTCGCGACACGAATCAGACCTGCCGTGATCAGACCTGAGGCCCCCCCCCCCTGGGCAGTGTCCCGCCCCTGCTCCAGCCGCCGACCAGAAGACGTCGAGGGCGGCGCTGCAGAGGCTGCCCTTCCTCGAGCACCTGCGGGCGCCGAAGGCACGCCCGAGCGCCGGGGGCGCGCCGCGCGGGGCGCCGCCGCGGGCGCAGGCCGCCGAGGGGGGCGCGGGCGCCAAGCAGGCCGCGCGCCGCCCCCCGCCGCTCGCCGTGCTCGAGCGGGAGGGGGCGCCGAGCCCGGAGAAGCCGCGGGCGGCGAAGCAGGCGGGCCCCGAGGGGGGCCGGGCTCCTGTGGCCGCCGTCTCCTGGGGCCCCCCTCTCCACGGGCCCTGGGGCTGTCGGGGAGCGGGGGCGGCAAGGAGGGGGGTGAGGGCTGCCCTGACCTTCCCCCTCTTGGCCGCCCCCCTCTTGGCCGCCCCCGAAGGAAGCGGCTCGAGGGTGCAGAGCTGGTCTGGAGGGAGGGCCCCGGGGCCTTCTGGGGCCCGTTCTCCTCAGGACCCGTCTCCTTCATGCCACAGGCGCACGCCTGGACGGCCTCGGTGACCCCTGCGGCCGGGGCCGCGGAGCCCGCCGCCTCGCCCCGCGGTTCGTGGCGCGGCAGCGTCGCGAGGGACAGGGCGTCGCCCAGGAACACCGCGGTGTACGCGGTCGCCCAGCCTGAGAGCCCTCGCAGCGCGCCCGTGCCCAGCGGCTTCATCCCTCCGCAGGATGGGCCGGCCAGCCCCGGCGGCAAGCATAAGCCGACGTCGCGCCGGGCTTCGCTGGCGCTGGCGCCGCCGGACGCGGCCGAGGTCCTCAGCCCCAAGACGCTCGTGCGGACCCAGACCCGGCAGAGCTGGATCTACAGCGGGTTCGCAATTGGGGAGGAGGAGCGGGCCCAGGCGGCCCAGGCCGAGATCGACGCTTCGGCGGCAGTCGTGGCAGAGGAACCGACGCTGGAGCAGGAGCCGCTGTTTGAGCGATGGCGCGCCCTCTTCTCGCTGGAGCTCCTCGACGCCATCGCCGAGGAGTTCGACGAGCTCCCGCTCCGCAGCGCCGGCAGGTTCGCTACCAGGCCGCAGCTGGAGCGGACCGTGGCCACCGTGCTGAACGTGACCAAGAAGACCGCGAAGGAGATGCTGGACGCCCAGGCGCTCGACCTGAACGAACAGGGCAGGATGGAGCTGCAGGGCTTCCCCTGTCTCCTGCAGATCTTCGCCGACGGGGTGCAGTGGCTTCACCGCGAGAGGGCCGAGTGCCTCTGGAACGCCGCCGACCTGGAGCTCATCCGTCAGGTGTACATCTCGTACGTCAAGCGCGCGGGCAGGTCCCTGGCCGCAGGGGACGCCATGCCCCTGTCCGCGATCCAGAAGGCGCTCACCTCGCTGGAGGAGCGGGGCGTGGCCACTGGGTGGCTGGCGGAGCGGGCGGAGCTGCTGGAGCAAGTCGTGCGGAGCGTCACGAGCGCCAGCGTGTGCAAGACCCACACGGGCAGGAGCCTAGAGGACACCTTGACGCAAAGGGAGTTCCTGCAGATCGTCTGCCTGGCCATGCACGAGAAAGAGGTCGACGCCCGCCGGCGCGAGTTCCGCTCGGAGGAGAGTGCGCGGGAGGAGTCGAATGAGAAAAAACGCCATAAACATAAACTTTCGGCGCTCCGCGCGGATCCAAGAACCATCGCGGATCCAAGAAATCTGCGTGGAGCGACAACAGTTTATGTCTATGGCGTTCTTCTTCTAAGGAGGCGGGCTTCTCGGCGCTGGAGCTGGAGGACCTGCGCGAGCTCCACCTCTCGGCCGGCCGCCTGGCGAGGCGAGCTCCGCCTCAGGAGAGGCGCCTCTTGGGCGAGTCGGCGCCGCCAGCCTGCGACGACCACGCCGCGGCGGTGAGGTGGCTGAGAGCGCTCCTGCGCGACTGCTGGGAGGGTGCCAAGCAGGTCAGACCCTGCCCCGAATGTTGGTACCCTGGAGCACTCGTGCCGTCGCGCAGCCCCCCCCTGGGTGGAACGGATGATGATGATGCTGATGCTGATGCTGATGCTGATGCTGATGACGATGACGATGACGATGATGATGATGATGATGATGATGATGATGATGATGATGATGATGATGATGATGATGATGATGATGATGATGATGATGATGATGATGCCGCTGCTGATGAGGCTGATGATGCTGCTGATGTGATGATGATTCATAAAATGATGATAATCATGGAGGATGATGACGAGATGATGATGATGATGTGATGACGATGCTTGATGATGTGATGATGACGATGATGATGCTGATGATGTTGTTGCTGTTGCTGCCGCTGCGATGATGCTGCTGCCGCTCGTGCTGATGATTGATGACGATGCTGATGCTGATGAAGCTGATGAGACGATGATGATGATGATGATGAGATGATGATGGATGAAGATGATGATGATGATGATGATGATGATGAT